GAGTTCCCTTCTACAGCAGGGTCCCCATCAGAGTTCCCCCTTATGTCAGAGTCTTAATCAGAATTCCCCCTTACATCAGAGTCTTCATCAGAGTTCCCTTCTAGATCAAGGTCCCCATAAGAGCTCCCCCTTTCATCAGAGTCCTCATCAGAGTTGCTCCTTACATCAGGGTCCCCATCAGAGTTCCCTTCTACTTCAGGGTCCCCATCAGAGGTTGCCCTTACATCAGAGTCCTCATTAGAGTTCCCTTCTACATCAGGAGTCCTCATCAGAGTTCCCCCTTTCCCCAGAGTTTACATCAGGATCCCCATCAGAATTCCTCCTTACATCAGGATTCCCATCAGAGTTCCCCTTACATCAGGATCCCCATCAGAATTCCTCCTTACATCAGGATCCCCATCAGAGTTCCCCCTTACATCAGAGTCCCCATGAGAGTTCCCTTGCACATTAGGGTCTCCATCAAAGTTCCCCTTTACATCAGAGTTCCCTTCTAGGTCAGTGTCCCCATCAGAGTTCCCCCTTACATCAGAGTTCTCTTCTAGGTCAGGGTCCCCATCAGAGTTCCCCCTTACATCAGAGTTCCCTTCTAGGTCAGGGTCCCCATAAGAGTTCCCCCATAGATCAGAGTTCCCTTCTAGGTCAGGGTCCCCATCAGAGTTCCCCCTTACATCAGAGTTCCCTTCTAGGGTCAGGGTCCCCATCAGAGTTCCCCCTTACATCAGAGAGGTCAGGGTCCCCATCAGAGTTCCCCCTTACATCAGAGTTCCCTTCTAGGTCAGGGTCCCCATCAGAGTTCCCCCTTACATCAGAGTTCCCTTCTAGGTCAGGGTCCCCATCAGAGTTCCCCCTTACATCAGAGTCCCCATGAGAGTTCCCTTGCACATTAGGGTCTCCATCAAAGTTCCCCTTTACATCAGAGTTCCCTTCTAGGTCAGTGTCCCCATCAGAGTTCCCCCTTACATCAGAGTTCCCTTCTAGGTCAGTGTCCCCATCAGAGTTCCCCCTTACATCAGAGTTCCCTTCAGGTCAGGGAGAGTTCCCCCATAGATCAGAGTTCCCTTCTAGGTCAGGGTCCCCATCAGAGTTCCCCCTTACATCAGAGTTCCCTTCTAGGTCAGTGTCCCCATCAGAGTTCCCCCTTACATCAGAGTTCCCTTCTAGGTCAGGGTCCCCATCAGAGTTCCCCCTTACATCAGAGTCCCCATGAGAGTTCCCCCATACATCAAGTTGAAGCAGACAGGCAGCCTGTGCTGACCTGAATCCTCAAGCTGTGCAGATTGCGGTGGTTGTGGATATACCACTGACCCTAGCCGTGCGTCGGGTAAAATCTTGTAGTGAGCCAAGTCTGGCCCAGGGGCTGTAGCTTGGAGACCCTTGTTCTGGAGGGACCCCACAGGTATGGTATATGCACAGATACATTGGTCCAAGCTGCAACAATGTAATTATGGAAATATATCTGTACCGGGAATTCATCTTTAGCGGAATGTCGGGGGAGTGAAGGAAAGATCAGCAAATGTTGCAGAGGAGGGGAGATTAAAGCCAGACCAGGGGCGGACTGACAACTCATGGGGCCCCCGGGCAATAGGGGATCATGGGGCCCATGTGTCCATACCCAAACTCAAAAAAGCCTATGAAAAAGGTACCAGGGGCATCTCATGGGGCCCCCTACTGACCCCGGGCCCTCGAGCAGTGCCCGAGTTTCCAAATGGTCAGTCCGCCCCTGAGCCCGACCACAATTTTGCCCTGCGTGGGTGAATGGTTTTAAGGACTTCATTCCGTATACTTCCTGTGTGATCTGGTTGTATAGAGATCCGGAACTGCAAGCGCTGATGTGAACTATGACACTGACAACCGTATCACCTACTTTCTGTGCATTTTGGATGCAGAAAAAAAAAACAACAGAAACGCGAAAAAACGCAGAAAAAATGCAGCAAAAACACAAGTAGAAAAATGCAAAACAAAAAACACAAAATGCATATATGTGAACGGAGCCTATGGGCTGGTTCCCACCATAGAAATGCAGTCCAGATGCATTTCCGCATGTGCGTTTTTGGTCCATTCCAGTGCGTTTTTTTTATACATTTGACCGCATTCCATTGCAGTTCTGTGCAGGAAAAACGCACCCATGTTCTAATTTTTTTTCCTGCAACTGGAACGCACTGGAACTCCAAGCGCTGATGTGAACGATGACATTGACAACCATATCACCGACTTTCTGTGCATTTTGAATGTAGAAAAAAAAAGCAACTGAAATGAATGAAGTGTGAACCGGCCCTTAAACAGATGAAAAACAGATGTAAACGGGTGAAAAAAAAAAAAAACCATGTAAATGGAAATAAACAAACTAATTTTTCGTTTGCATAAACGGATAACGCCTGTGAAAAGGGAGCCGTGGTTACACAGCAGTCATTTATTGCTGGACTGGATGGGAAGGGATGGGGTAGATGATGTAGCTGGTTCATTAAAGCCTATTCACACATAGGAGCGTCAAAAAATATTGACTTTAATGCAGAGCAAATATAATTTTCAACATGGAGTTTGCATGTTCTCCCTGTGCCTGCGTGGGTTTCCTCCGGGTACTCCGGTTTCCTCCAACACTCCAAAGACATGCTGGTAGGTTAATTGGCTCCTGTCTAAATTGTCCCTAGTATGTGTATGTATGAATGTGAGTTAGGGACCTTAGATTGTACATTCCTCGGGGGGGGCGGGGACTGATGCGAATGTACAATATATATGTAGAGCGCTGCGTAAATTAAAGGCGCTATATAAGTACCTGAAATAAACAAACAAACAAACATCCATTCATACCAAAATCCAGACATTTCCTCCGGATCACAAACCATTTTTTTTTGCCTGTGTACATGCCATGGGGATTAGGTAGTAATCTCTGTCTGCATCCACATCTAATGTTACAGCAGCACCTATTGGCCAGAAACAGAAATGCGACTCTATACTTTGGCGTGCCATAGGACAAGTGGATCACTGGGGGCCGGGTTACCTCTACGTGTTGCGGAAACGTGCGCAGTACATTCCACCCCAACGCACTTTGCATTCAAAATTTTGCAACACTTCTGATTTTCTTTTTGGGACGAGCGATGCCAGTCCATCGGGCTGCCTTACACACTGACTCCACCTTTTGCACCATGTTACACCTGCCTATAAGTGGAGCTCCACCCAAAAGGGAAAGTTCCACTGTAAGGACTGGTCCCCCCGCTGCTCCCTGTTAAGGATTGGCACCTTTGGGGAGTAGGGGGGGTGCGCCTGAAATTGACAGAATCGCCGGGGCGATCGGAAGCAGAAGTTTCCCCCCCCCCCCCATAGTTTTCATGGACAAAATTTCAATTCAGCTCAGTGGAGTTGAGTGTCATTTGACAACAGGATAAAGTTCCACGTTTGCACCAAGTCTGCTAATGTCCACAATCATGTTACCTTGTAATTGTACATTGAGGGAACCATCGGAGCTCCCAGCAAGAGCAGAGCTCCCGACTCCATTCAGATTTGTGTTCCAGAGTTGCAGAATCAATAAAAGGCACCAAATCCTCTGATTTATTTATTTTTCCCTGCCGATTATTCAGAGAGGACTGTAGGAATGTTGAGTTAAAACAATTGCAATAGTGCTTAGCCAGCCCTGTGATAATGTGGCTTCAATCCCATATAACTGATTCCATGTAATGGAGAGTGCCATGAGGGCGGCAGTCCTCAGCATACACAGGTGGGTCTGATAGTACAGAGACACTGGACCAAATATGAGGTATGCAGGTGGGTGAGACCTGGGGACCAACACACATCAGCGCTAAAGTGTCATAGTGAAAGTACTCAGCCGGAGGACCAAAGTTCTCGTAGTGGAGGACCAAAGTTCTCGTAGTGGAGGACCAAAGCTCTCGTAGTGGAGGACCAAAGCTCTCGTAGCGGAGGACCAAAGCTCTCGTAGTGGAGGACCAAAGTTCTCGTCGGAGGACCAAAGCTCTCGTAGCGGAGGACCAAAGCTCTCGTATCGGAGGACCAAAGCTCTCGTAGCGGAGGACCAAAGCTCTCGTAGCGGAGGACCAAAGCTCTCGTAGCGGAGGACCAAAGCTCTCGTAGCGGAGGACCAAAGCTCTCGTAGCGGAGGACCAAAGCTCTCGTAGCGGAGGACCAAAGCTCTCGTAGCGGAGGACCAAAGCTCTCGTAGCGGAGGACCAAAGCTCTCGTAGCGGAGGACCAAAGCTCTCGTAGGGGAGGACCAAAGCTCTCGTAGGGGAGGACCAAAGTTCTCGTAGCGGAGGACCAAAGTTCTCGTAGCGTAGCGGAGGACCAAAGCTCTCGTAGCGGAGGACCAAAGCTCTCGTAGCGGAGGACCAAAGCTCTCGTAGCGGAGGACCAAAGCTCTCGTAGCGGAGGACCAAAGTTCTCGTAGGGGAGGACCAAAGCTCTCGTAGCGGAGGACCAAAGCTCTCGTAGCAGTCCGCTCCAAGAGCAGGAAAGCTTCGGGTTTGCAGCCCTCTTCTGACTAGGGACATCTCTATAGCAAACAACAAATAACAACAAAGAGGGTGCAAAGCTATGTGCATGAAAAAGTTTTATTCAAATATGTAGATGCCAAAAATATACCCACAAAGGCCTGTAAACGCTGTAGACCTCAAGGGATACACAGACCCCAACGCTGGCATTGGATACAAGGTATGAGAACTTTGCTGCGATCTGGACACCACTCACTAGCAAACAAATGAACCGACAGGTTTCTAGGGCGAAACCCTCTTCTTTAAAGCTTGGCTACTAACTAAGCTCTGAGGAAGAGGGTTTTCCCTAGAAACGTGTCGGCTTGCTTGTGAGTGATTGAGTGGGGACCGGGTTATATCAGAGCACTCGTACCTTGTATGTATGGACAGCTTTGGGGTCTGTATATCTCTTGAGGTCTACAGGCTTTACGGCCTTTGTGGATATATTTTTGATATCTATATATTTTAATACATTTTTTAAAAAGGTAATGCTCAAGGCTTTGCACCCTCTTTGTAATTTGTTGACCAGGTGACATTACAGATACACTGTCCCATGGAGTGTGCAGTGTTGGTGGTCTGACCTGGTGACAGTACAGCAACAATGGGCCCCAGTATGAGGTGTGCGGTGCAGGTGGGTCTGACCTGGTGACAGTACAGCAACAATGGGCCCCAGTATGAGGTGTGCGGTGCAGGTGGGTCTGACCTGGTGACAGTACAGCAACAATGGGCCCCAGTATGAGGTGTGCGGTGCAGGTGGGTCTCTGACCTGGTGACAGTACAGGGACACTCAGCCCCAGTATGAGGTGTGCGGTGCAGGTGAGTCTGATCTGGTGACAGTACAGGGACACTCATCCCCCGGTATGAGGTGTGCGGTGCAGGTGAGTCTGATCTGGTGACAGTACATGGACACTCAGCCCCGGTATGAGGTGTGCGGTGCAGGTGGTGAGTCTGATCTGGTGACAGTACAGGGACACTCAGCCCCGGTATGAGGTGTGCGTGCGGTGCAGGTGAGTCTGATCTGGTGACAGTACAGGGACACTCAGCCCCAGTATGAGGTGTGCGGTGCAGGTGGGTCTGATCTGGTGACAGTACAGGGACACTCATCCCCGGTATGAGGTGTGCGGTGCAGGTGGGTCTGATCTGCTGACAGTACAGGGACACTCAGCCCCGGGTAGGAGGTGTGCGGTGCAGGTGGGTCTGATCTGCTGACAGTACATGGACACTCAGCCCCGGTAGGAGGTGTGCGGTGCAGGTGGGTCTGATCTGCTGACAGTACAGGGACACTCAGCCCCGGTATGAGGTGTGTGGTGCAGGTGGGTCTGATCTGCTGACAGTACATGGACACTCAGCCCCGGTAGGAGGGGTGTGCGGTGCAGGTGAGTCTGATCTGGTGACAGTACATGGACACTCAGCCCCGGTAGGAGGTGTGCGGTGCAGGTGGGTCTGATCTGGCAACAGTACATGGACACTCAGCCCTGGTAGGAGGTGTGCGGTGCAGGTGGGTCTGGGTCTGATCTGGTGACAGTACAGGGGGACACTCAGCCCGGGTAGGAGGTGTGCGGTGCAGGTGGGTCTGATCTGGTGACAGTACAGGGACACTCAGCCCCGGTATGAGGTGTGCGGTGCAGGTGGGTCTGATCTGGTGACAGTACAGGGACACTCAGCCCCGGGACAGGTGGGTCTGATCTGGTGACAGTACAGGGACAATCATCCCCGGTATGAGGTGTGCGGTGCAGGTGGGTCTGATCTGGTGACAGTGCTCAGCCCCGGTATGAGGTGTGCAGTGCAGGTGGGTCTGATCTGGTGACAGTACATGGACACTCAGCCCCGGTATGAGGTGTGCGGTGCAGGTGGGTCTGATCTGGTGACAGTACAGGGACAATCATCAGGTGTGCCCCGGTATGAGGTATGAGGTGTGCAGTGCAGGTGGGTCTGATCTGGTGACAGTACATCTCAGCCCCGGTGACAGGTGTGCAGTGCAGGTGGGTCTGATCTGGTGACAGACATGGACACTCAGCCCCGGTATGAGGTGTGCGGTGCAGGTGGGTCTGATCTGGTGACAGTACATGGGACGCTCAGCCCCGGTATGAGGTGTGCAGTGCAGGTGGGTCTGATCTGGTGACAGTACATGGACACTCAGCCCGGTATGAGGTGTGCAGTGCAGGTGGGTCTGATCTGGTGACAGTACATGGACACTCAGCCCCGGTATGAGGTGTGCGGTGCAGGTGGGTCTGATCTGGTGACAGTACATGGACGCTCAGCCCCGGTATGAGGTGTGCGGTGCAGGTGGGGGTCAGCCCCGGTATGAGGTGTGCGGTGCAGGTGGGTCTGATCAGTGACAGTACATGGACACTCAGCCCCGGTATGAGGTGTGCAGGCAGGTGGGTCTGATCTGGTGACAGTACATGGACACTCAGGTATGAGGTGTCAGTGAGGTGGGTCTGGTGACAGTACATGGACACTCAGCCCCGGTATGAGGTGTGCAGTGCAGGTGGGTCTGATCTGGTGACAGTACATGGACGCTCAGCCCAGGTATGAGGTGTGCGGTGCAGGTGGGTCTGATCTGCTGACAGTACATGGACGCTCAGCCCAGGTATGAGGTGTGCAGTGCAGGTGGGTCTGATCTGGTGACAGTACATGGACACTCAGCCCCGGTATGAGGTGTGCGGTGCAGGTGGGTCTGATCTGGTGACAGTACATGGACGCTCAGCCCAGGTATGAGGTGTGCGGTGCAGGTGGGTCTGATCTGGTGACAGTACATGGACGCTCAGCCCAGGTATGAGGTGTGCGGTGCAGGTGGGTCTGATCTGGTGACAGTACATGGACACTCAGCCCCGGTATGAGGTGTGCGGTGCAGGTGGGTCTGATCTGGTGACAGTACATGGACACTCAGCCCAGGTATGAGGTGTGCGGTGCAGGTGGGTCTGATCTGGTGACAGTACAGGGACACTTGGCCCAGGTATGAGGTGTGCGGTGCAGGTGGGTCTGATCTGGTGACAGTACAGGGACACTCAGCCCAGGTATGAGGTGTGCGGTGCAGGTGGGTCTGATCTGGTGACAGTACAGGGACACTCAGCCCCGGTAGGAGGTGTGCGGTGCAGGTGGGTCTGATCTGGTGACAGTACAGGGACAATCATCCCCGGTATGAGGTGTGCGGTGCAGGTGGGTCTGATCTGGTGACAGTACAGGGACACTCAGCCCCGGTATGAGGTGTGCGGTGCAGGTGGGTCTGATCTGGTGACAGTACAGGGACACTCAGCCCCGGTAGGAGGTGTGCGGTGCAGGTGGGTCTGATCTGGCGACAGTTTGCTGGTTACAATGTAACATCCAGGAGACTCTTGATCATGTCAGAATGAGTGTTGAAGAATGGAAGTCCATCAACCTCCATGGCCAAATTTCCCGTCTTTCCGCTGCGGACTCCATGTTGGACCAATATTTCCAGCAGCTTCTCCTCCTTTTAGAATAAAAAAAAAAGTACATAAAACATATTCTGGAAAAATGATTCTTTCACCTTTTAGAACAACAGGGGATTCATAATTCATAAGTGTTTGAGGTCACACTCTATTTTAACCCCTAAACCTCGACAGTACGCAAATATGCGGCCTCTCGGTGGCTGGGCCTTGACGCTGAGTGGCTGCATATTTGTGTACCATTAAAAAAACACACGCCCTGCCCGCTCCCAGCACATGTCGGTGATTCACTGAAAGGTCCCGATCTCCCCTTGCGATCGGGACCTTTTCCGATCATGTGACAGCGAATCACGGCGGTCACATTACCCTAAAAACCCCGCCCTCCTCCCGGCATCTGAAACCTCTTAAAGGGCCGGGAGGCACCAGCACGAAAAGGTTAAAGGAGCATGCTTTGATCTCTCAATGTCCTCCATAGACCCGCCATAGTGAAATCCCCACCTAAAGTTCAACTCCTCAGCTGAGCTGCCAGAGACGCCAGTGATGTCATTCATCCTTCACGCTAATATATAGAGATTGCTGGTGAAAGTAGTTCAGCTGAAATGCCATTCTCAGCCTTTCCCAGTGATGCCGAGGGTGGGGGGAAGGGGGATATCCTCAGCAAAGCTCCAGACACCAATAAAAAGTCTGACACTTCAGGGTTCAAAGGAGACAGTGATGGTGCCTGGCCAATCACCAGGAATCAGCAACATTGTCACATAGCTGGAAACATAGTAACAACTTCGGGTCAGTGTGTAGCCACGCCCCCTGGACTCCCATCCACGGTGCAGGCCGGGTTAAGAGTCTGTCTGAACTGCTATCGAAGTTGGAGAATAAAACCAGTGTCCCGCAAGCCGCACACCGAGAAATCTTGTGCATCAGAGAGTTGACAGCAGCCTCGGTTTATCTCTGTCCCAGGCTACACTTACGACGCGTTTCACCCTGGGCTTGGTCGAGGTGGTGAAACGCGTCGAATGTGTGGCGGGGATGGAAATAAACTGAGGCTTCTGTCATCTCTCTGATGCTAGGGACTGCTTGGAGTGCGGCTTTCGGGACACTATTTTTATGCTGTCACACAGCTGACATAACTCTTGAGTGAAACGTGAGCGACTCAATCCTTACTCAGGGCGGCTTCTCCTGCTTCTTGCAGCTGATCAGAGTGGCGGAGGGAGCAATGAAAAGGAACGTTTTTTGCTGCTGGAGAGAAGCAGATTAACGTAAACCTGTTGCTGTGACCTAAGCGTGGCTCTCCAGGATTGCTTTTTCAAACTAAAGTGGTTGTGAACCTCAGACATGAAATATGAACAAAGCATATCCCTCTATAGAGTGTACGTGTCTCAATTAAGAGCATTAAGTGTAATTTCTGTCTTCTGCTTCATTCCTCTGCTATCAGCATAAATCACTTCTAACAAGTTTTCCTGACACCATAAGAAATATGGTGACAGGGGAGGGAGTTCCACTACACAGCCTGTGATTGACAGCCTCAGCTGTGTTCCTGTGAGCTGTGTGAAGGGGGGGGGTGTCTCTTCCCTCCAATCAGCTCTCAGAACTCTCCTCACTGAACTCTGCAGTGTGTAATTGCAGCTCTCCATCCCGTTTCTTCAGACAAGCTTTATAAATTCAGCACTTTGCATGGATCTAGAGAAGAGAATACTGCAGATAAACAGGTACAACTTATGTAGGAGGAATTGTTTCATCTCTTCACTTCACTAAGTTATATGTAAGGGTTTACATCAACTTTAAAGTGTTACTAAACCCTGCATTCACTATATCTGGTCTCCCCGGACCCCGCATTCACTATATCCACTCTCCTCGGACCCCGCATTCAACATATCCGCTCTCCCCGGACCCCGCATTCACTATATCCGCTCTCCCCGGACCCCGCAGTCACTATATCCACTCTCCCCGGACCCTGCATTCACTATATCTGCTCTCCCCGGACCGTGCATTAACTGTATCCGCTCTCCCCGGACCCCGCATTCACTATGTCCGCTCTCCCCGGACCCCGCATTCACTATATCCGCTCTCCCCGGACCCCGCATTCACTATATCTGGTCTCCCCGGACCCCACATTCACTATATCTGCTCTCCCCGGACCGTGCATTAACTATATCCGCTCTCCCCGGACCCCGCATTCACTATATCCGGTCTCCCCGGACCCCGCATTCACTATATCCGCTCTCCCCGGACCCTTCATTCACAATATCTGCTCTCCCCGGACCCTGCATTCACTATATCCTCTCTCACCAGACCCCACATTCACTCTCTCCCCGGACCCACATTCACTATATCCGCTCTCCCCCGACCCTGCATTCACTATAACCGCTCTCCTCGGACCCCGCATTCACTATATCCTCTCTCCCTGGACCCCGCATTCACTATATCCGCTCTCCTCGGACCCCGCATTCACTATATCCGCTCTCCCCAGACCCCACATTCACTGTATCCGCTCTCCCCAGACCCCGCATTCACTATATCCGCTCTCCCCGGACCCCGCATTCACTATAACCGCTCTCCCCGGACCCCGCATTCACTATAACCGCTCTCCCCGGATCTGCTCTCCCCGGTCCCTGCATTCACTATATATGGTCTCCTTGGGCCCCGCATTCACTATATCCGCTCTCCCCGGACCCTGCATTCACTATATCTGCTCTCCCTGGACCCCGCATTCACTATATCTGCTCTCCCCGCACCCAGCATTCACTATATCTGCTCTCCCCGGACCCCGCATTCACTATATCCGCTCTCCCTGGACCCCGCATTCACTATATCCGCTCTCCCCGGACCCTGCATTCACTATATCCAGTCATTCACTATATCCGCTCTCCCCGGACCCCGCACTCACTATATCCGCTCTCCCCGGACCCCGCATTCACTATATCCGCTCTCCCCGGACCCTGCATTCACTATATCCACTCATTCACTATATCCACTCTCCCCGGACCCCGCACTCACTATATCCGCTCTCCCCGGACCCCGCATTCACTATATCCGCTCTCCCCGGACCCCGCATTCACTGTATCTGCTCTCGCCAGACCCTACAGTCACTATATCCGCTCTCCCCGGACCCCGCATTCACTATATCCGCTCTCCCCGGACCCCGCATTCACTATATCCGCTCTCCCCGGACCCTACATTCACTATATCTGTTCTCCCCAGACCCCACATTCACTATATCCGCTCTCCCCGGACCCCTGCATTCACTATATCTGCTCTCCCCGGTCCCTGCATTCACTATATATGGTCTCCTTGGACCCCGCATTCACTATATCCGCTCTCCCCGGACCCTGCATTCACTATATCTGCTCTCCCCGGACCCCGCATTCACTATATCTGCTCTCCCCGCACCCAGCATTCACTATATCCGCTCTCCCCGGACCCTGCATTCACTATATCCACTCATTCACTATATCCGCTCTCCCCGGACCCCGCACTCACTATATCCGCTCTCCCCGGACCCTGCATTCACTATATCTGCTCTCCCCGGACCCCGCATTCACTGTATCTGCTCTCCCCAGACCCTACAGTCACTATATCCGCTCTCCCCGGACCCCGCATTCACTATATCCGCTCTCCCCGGACCCCGCATTCACTATATCCGCTCTCCCCGGACCCCGCATTCACTATATCCGCTCTCCCCGGACCCTGCATTCACTATATCTGCTCTCCCTGGACCCCGCATTCACTATATCTGCTCTCCCCGCACCCAGCATTCACTATATCTGCTCTCCCCGGACCCCGCATTCACTATATCCGCTCTCCCTGGACCCCGCATTCACTATATCCGCTCTCCCCGGACCCTGCATTCACTATATCCACTCATTCACTATATCCGCTCTCCCCGGACCCCGCACTCACTATATCCGCTCTCCCCGGACCCCGCATTCACTATATCCGCTCTCCCCGGACCCTGCATTCACTATATCCACTCATTCACTATATCCACTCTCCCCGGACCCCGCACTCACTATATCCGCTCTCCCTGGACCCCGCATTCACTATATCCGCTCTCCCCGGACCCCGCATTCACTGTATCTGCTCTCGCCAGACCCTACAGTCACTATATCCGCTCTCCCCGGACCCCGCATTCACTATATCCGCTCTCCCCCCGGACCCCGCATTCACTATATCCGCTCTCCCCGGACCCTACATTCACTATATCTGTTCTCCCCAGACCCCACATTCACTATATCCGCTCTCCCCGGACCCCGCATTCACTATATCTGCTCTCCCCGGTCCCTGCATTCACTATATATGGTCTCCTTGGACCCCGCATTCACTATATCCGCTCTCCCCGGACCCTGCATTCACTATATCTGCTCTCCCGGACCCCGCATTCACTATATCTGCTCTCCCCGCACCCAGCATTCACTATATCCGCTCTCCCCGGACCCTGCATTCACTATATCCACTCATTCACTATATCCGCTCTCCCGGACCCCGCACTCACTATATCCGCTCTCCCCGGACCCCGCATTCACTATATCTGCTCTCCCCGGACCCCGCATTCACTATATCTGCTCTCCCCAGACCCCGCATTCACTATATCTGCTCTCCCCAGACCCTACATTCACTGTATCTGCTCTCCCCAGACCCTACATTCACTATATCCGCTCTCCCCGGACCCCGCATTCACTATATCCGCTCTCCCCGGACCCCGCATTCACTATATCCGCTCTCCCCGGACCCCGCATTCACTATATCCGCTCTCCCGGACCCCGCATTCACTATATCCGCTGTTCTCCCCGGACCCCACATTCACTATATCCGCTCTCCCCCCCGGACCCCACATTCACTATATCCGCTCTCTCACAGTACACAGAACATGGAAATGCAATTATTTTTAGTAAATATAAACTGCTAAACACCTTTTCTCATCAGCAGTATATAGCAGTCTTGTGACTTCTATCAGTGTCCAACCGAGCACTGGTTAAAGCTTGTAGGAGGAGTTTTCATTCTCCTCTCACTGCCCTATGAGATTGCATAACCCCTGGCCCCTCTGTCTGCAAAGTGCTGATTGGCCCTGTGCTGATCACATGCACTCACATGAAAAAGAAAAACTCTCTAGCAATGCACACCAAAATGAGCATGTGCAGAGTGTCCCTGAGGCTGTGTTCTATCAGGAAATGAAATGGGGACAGTAGAAGAAGGGGAGGATCAGAGAAGACAGGATCAAACATCCTTTTTACACAATGCAGAGGTTAACCCCTTAGGTTCCACAGTGAGTATAACAATCATGCTTTCCTGCACCTACAGACTGATTGTACTGTTGGGGGTTTAGTAACACTTTAAATGTTGGCGTGGAATCTATAACATAGTATGCAGCGTCACAGATATGGGAAAGGTTTGTATGTTGTGTCTCTATATGATATATGGTTACATTTATATACGCCAGTATAACAGCCAGCCAGGTTTGCAGGACTCGGTGGGTGGAACTCTCACCTTGCTGACAGAAGGCAATGAGGACACCCAGCTCTCCCGCTCTGACAATCTGGGGAATCCAACGGCTCTTCTCAGGTATCGCTCATGAATCTCACAGGTATTTAGGAGATACAAGGCGCAGGATACGGCATAACCCCCCCAGTTAGACACACCTAGGAGACACAACAGTCAGGTCAGTATTATCCTTCTCTCTAAATGGATACAATGTATAAGTAAGACAACACTATAGGGCCCATTTCCCCCCCCCCCCCCCCCGGTTCACATCTGTGCGGGTGGTGCCGCTGCGGATCCGCATGAAAATCCATGCAGCCGCACCACCCGCACAGAGGAGTGTGGACCCGCGGCGGGTGTCATTAGTTCTAATGGCCCGCCACCCGCACTGGGAAACGCAACCGTACTGAGAACCGAGGTTCCCGTGGGGGCTGCGTTTTCCAAAGAAGTGCAGGGACTTCTTCCCTGCATGTCCCGGGGCACGGGAGTCCATTCAAATGAATGGGCTCTCGTGCCCGAGCAAAACGCGGCCCGCACGGCCGCATGGGTGTGAACCAGGGGTTACACTGTAGTGCACCCCAGTAAATCATGTACCCAAATGTGCTTTATCGTGTGTTGAACGACACTAAATGTCAGCCCATTCCTTTGGAATTTTGGGTGCGTGTGCATTTGGCTGCCAATCAAATTAAAAGCAATGCACATACACCTGGTGTGTGCAGCAGTAAAGCACACAGTATCACATGGAATATCGCAGCACACTATAAGGCCCCATGTACACGGGACACTTCTGAACGATGGAAAGTGACTGCTGGAAAACGTAGGTAAAAAAAGTCTGTTTAGCTGCGTTTGCATACCGCGTTTATGCGCGTTTGCGTTTACAAGCGTTTTTTTTTTAAAGATAAGCACAGTAGAACCTCCCAAATGGCCAGAATGCACTGGAAAGTGGTAAATTATTAACTATTTCAGACTGTTTCAGAAAAATACAGAGAGTAGGAGCAGAGACAGCAGTATGGGTTGAGATTAGCTTAGGTGTGAGTTGCTCATTAACATTTCTTTTGTTTCCAAGGGTGGGAAAGGCGTCTGGTGGAGGGAGTCATTAAGGTCACTGGCAGGGAGTCTTCATGAGGAATCTGAGGTGTGAATGGTCATTAACATATCTTTTGTTTCCAAGGGTGGGAGAGGTCTGAGGTGTGAATGGTCATTAACATATCTTTTGTTTCCAAGGGTGGGAGAGGTCTGAGGTGTGATTGGTCATTAACATATCTTTTGTTTCCAAGGGTGGGAGAGGTCTGAGGTGTGATTGGTCATTAACATATCTTTTGTCTCCAAGGGTGGGAGAGGTCTGAGGTATGAATGGTCATTAACATATCTTTTGTTTCCAAGGGTGGGAGAGGTCTGAGGTGTGAATGGTCATTAACATATCTTTTGTTTCCAAGGGTGGGAGAGGTCTGAGGTGTGATTGGTCATTAACATATCTTTTGTCTCCAAGGGTGGGAGAGGTCTAAGGTATGAATGGTCATTAAACATATCTTTTGTTTCCAAGGCTGGGAGAGGTCTGAGATGTGAATTGGTCATTTCAATGTGTGACAAGCTTGGTAGGAACATCCTGTGTTCAGTGTTTTGTCCATTTGAGCACCTTGAAAACGCTTTGCATGCATTTTTCACGATGAAAAAAAGGCTCTGGACAGTATCGGGAACTGGAAGAGTTAGAAAAAAAAAAATTCAAACGCAAACGTTTATAAATGCGATTTGCCACGTTTAGCCATGTTCACAAGTGGTTTGCGTTTGAAACGCTGATAAAATCGACGTCTGAACACAAATTTGTTGCATTCAAAAAAACGACTGTAAATTCAACTGCCTGTAAACGACTGTAAATGACAATGTGTACATGGACACATAGGAAAAAATTAGGGAGAGTTCAGGGGCTCCTGAAAAAAACGCTGAACAGTTCCTAAAAGTCAGTTTATCAGCTGCAGTTACATGGGGCCCTAAAACAGAATCAGCTGTGTAAGCTGAACGAAACACTGTAATTTTCCTAAAAAAATTATTCCTGTATTATCAGCTCCATCTAGTGGCCGAAAATGCGGAATAGTTTCTCATTGGCGTTTTTCAGAAAACTATATCACGTTTTAGCCAATAGATGGAGCTGATGATACAGGCATTCATCTCCTACAAAAATTTCAATGATATGTCGTTCAGCTTGCAGGAATGCTTCTGACATTCGTGCAACAAATGTTTTATCGATAGACCCCCCTTGGTGTGAATGGATCCCAAGATAGTATGATCTAGAGAAATAAAATTCTAAAGAGTAGCACAGAGGAGGAGTTTCAGGAGGCAGAGTCAATACAGGAATCACTGCTTGCAGGCAGCAAGGTATCAAGGGATATGTAGTCCTTAGAAATGGAGGAGAAGCTGCAAAGCATGCTGGGAATCCAAGTTGTGGAAATTGACGGCCAGCAGACAGGCAGCACCCACACAACATGAATGGAGATTTTTCAAGTACAGTAATACCCCACTGACAGCTGAATGTAAAAGAATTGCAGGCAATTGAAAAAATAATTTAAAAAACGGCGTGGGGTTCCCCCTCCCACCCATAACAAGCCCTTCGGGTCTGGTTTGGATTTTGAGAGGAACTCCCACGCCAAAATGTAAAAAAAAATGGCGTGGGGGTCCCCCCCCCCCAAGATCCATACCAGACCGTTATCCGAGCATGAAACCCGGCAGGTCAGGAAAGGAGGGGGAACGAGCAAGTGCCCCCCTCCCCTCCTGAACCTTACCAGACCAAATGCTCTCAACATGGGGGGCATTGATGGGAACAAGGGCCTCTTCCCCACAACCCTGGCCAATGGTTGTGGGGGTCAGCCGGCGGGGGGCTTATCAGAATATGGAAGCCCTTTTTAACAAAGGGGCCCCGAGATCCCACCCCCCCATGTGAATGAGTATGGGGTACATGGTACCCCATACTCATTCACAAAAAACAAAAAGTGTAGTGTGAAAAAAGACAGGACATGGTTTTTGACAAGTCCTTTATTAAAAGAAAAAGCTACTAGAATGTCCCCCGCAGTAGATCCAACATCAATCACGATGCCCGCCGCCAACCCGAAAAAAGATTTAAAAAAAGGTCCCGTTCCCAACAATGACTGCCAGCCGTGTGCCTCTGAGCTGGCTTGACAGTTCTTAACTATGTAAGGGGTGGGGCCACCCGAGGACATCACCCGAGTGATCCCGCCCCAGGTGACATTGATGTCACCTGGGGTGGGGTCACATGCGTGATGTCCCTGGGTGGCCCCGCCCCTTATATATTGAGGGCATGTGGCCTGGTATGGTTCAGGAGGGGTGGGGCGCTCGCTCGTCCCCCCCCCCCCCCTCCTTTCCAGACCTGCAGGCTGCATGGTCGGATAAGGGTTTGATATGGATTTTGAGGGGGGGACCCCTACACCATTTTTTTTTTACATTTTGGCGTGGGAGTTCCCCGACCCGAATGGCTTGGTATGGATGGGAGGGGGGACCCCATGCCATTTTTTTATTTATTATGGTGCTGGTTTGTAAATGTAATTTTTGCTTTTTTTTCCTTCACTATAGCTCAGAAATTCAGCTGCCACTTTCCCCCCAGCTAAAAGAGAGAAAGTTTTCTTTTAGTTTATTTCCCCAAGTTAAAAGAAACAAATGGTTCCTTTTAGTGTCTTAAAAGAAACAGTTTCCTGTAACTCTGGGGAAAGTGACAGTTAATCTTGTGAGCTATAGTGAAGAAAAAAAAGCCGGCAATTGCATTTAAAAATCAGCACCGACATACACTTTGTATCGCGAAAAAAATTTGTAAAAATATTGTAAACCGAGGCATTACTTTCAATGGATTTTCATTCGTAAAAAAACCGAAAATTACGTTAGGCGTTCGTAAACTGAAATACACCTGTATTGGATTCTTAAAAATAAATATTGTTTGCATAGTCATTGCAATGTTGGTGTCATAAAATGAAAGTGTATGCTGTGACCATGGATTACCTTTAAATACATACCAGCGATAACTGTGAAGTCAGCAGCCACGTCACAGGCAATGGTGTCACCATTTGGAATATGCTTTTTCACCAGTTCTTTCACCTTGCCGGTACCAAGTTCATTCCCTCCATCGCCGATCCCTGACGAATAAATAATGACACCAGATGACTGCTGGGACGTTCCAGGAAGGCGGCGCACAGCTACATTCAGAAATTTCCACATACATACCAGTCGTCGATATACCGCGGATATTCTGTGCCGCCTCAAATAAGTCATCAATGGGATCCACCAAGTGTTTGATGTTTATTTTCCTGGCATTGTAATAATTACCATCCTTGGCCCGTCCAGCTCGTTCTATGGCTACCAAGTGGTCAAACCTGAGAAGGAAATCGTATACTTTTCAACAGCCGCTAAAAGTGTTAGTTCACCTTTGCAGGACATCTCTGCCAGGATTTCTAACCTGGGCGAGGCCGGGTCTCCGCTCTCACACAGGAACAAAGCAGCATCCTCTTTGTAAGATAACAAAGGCACGGGTGTTTTCAGCACTCCTGTTCAGAAATAAATACAAATAATATATACAGTATTTAAATATATATATTTTATAGGTACATTTACTAACATTTTTAATGAAAAAAAAAATCCAGAATAGATGAACCCCTGATGACGTTACATTTGACGAAACGCATCGGGAGGAGTCAGGGTGTATGTCGCCACTCTTGTGCGGCCGGACGATGGCCATCTTAGATGTGGCACGATCAGAAGATCGCTGTTTTTATCCACTGGGGTTTGTAAGTGTAAGTGTCATAAATGCTATAGGTTTATTAATGAGCGTTGCTTCATTCTTCATAATCGACACACGTGTGAACATCACAAACCCAGACTAGCCGGGGGGAGCAAGGGAAAAGCATATGTCAACCACGGCTCCCATATTTTCAAAAATTTAAGTTGGGAGTCGTTACAGATACTTGACATCTTTTCATTAAGCATCAGAGTGCTCATACGGTCCCGCACCCCCTGAAGAGGGACAGACGGGGTCTTCCATGCCTAAGCAATTGTTCTAGTTGCCGGCAAGAACAAATAGGAAGCCAACTTCTGCTGGTGAGCCAACAGGCCCGGTATTGGACAATGAAGCAAAGCGCACCGAGCATCCCGGCGTAGGGAGAGATGGAACAAGGTGAAAAGGAGGCCAAACACCAATCAGTTTCTGGCATGACAACCATATATGCAACACATCTCCATGATGACCACAACCCCAAAAGTAATGAACACTGCATGCCTGGGCCAAACAAGCCGAGACATCAGTTCCCTTTTAAGCACCTTCCACTAGAAAAGCAACACTTCCATGGGCATTTATCAAGCAAAAAACATATCATAAATGTTATAGGTTCGTTAATGAGCGTTGCTTCATTCTTCATAATCGACACACGTTTGAACATCACAAACCCAGACTAGCCGGAGGGAGCGTGGGACAGACATATGTCAACCACGGCTCCCATATTTTCAAAAATTTACGTTGGGAGTCGTTACAGATACTCGACATCTTTTCATTAAGCATCAGAGTGGCCATACAGTCTTGCACCCCCTGAAGAGGGACAGGCAGGCTTTTCCATACCTGAGCAATTGTTCTAGTTGCCGACAAGAACAAATAGGCAGCCAACTTCTGCTGTTGGGCCAACAGGCCCGGTATGGGACAATGAAGCAAAGCGTACTGACCATCTCGGTGTATGGAGAGATGGAACAAGGTGAAAAGGAGGCCAAACACACAAGACCAAAAAATAATCTGTTTCTGGCATGACCACCATATATGCAACACATCTACACAATGACCACAACCCCAAAAGCATCGATCACTGCAGGCGGGGTTTGCCTGGCCCAAACGAGCCGGACATCACTTCCCTTTTAAGCACCTTCCACTAGAAAAGCAACACTTCCACGGGCATTTATCAAGCAAAAAAAACATGTCATAAATGTTATAGGTTCGTTAATGAGCGTTGCTTCATTCTTCATAATTGCCACACGTTTGAACATCACAAACCCAGACTAGCCGGGGGGGGCGTGGGAAAAGCATGCGTCAACCACGGCTCCCATATTTTCAAAAATTTCCGTTGGGAGTCGTTATAGATACTCAACATCTTTTCATTAAGCATCAGAGTGGTCATACGGTCCCGCACCCCCCTGAAGAGGGACAGACAGGCTTTTCCATGCCTGAGCAATTGTTCTAGTTGCCGACAAGAACAAATAGGAAGCCAACTTCTGCTGTTGGGCCAACAGGCCCGGTATGGGACAATGAAGCAAAGCGTACTGACCATCCCGGTGTATGGAGAGATGGAACAAGGTAAAAAGGAGGCCAAACACACGAGACCAAAAAAGAATCCGTTTCTGGCATGACCACCATATATGCAACACATCTACATGATGACCACAAACCCGAAAGCATCGATCACTGCAGGCAGGGTTCACCAGGGCCAAAAGAGCAGGGACATCACTTCCCTTTTAAGCACCTTCCAGTAGAAAAGCAACACTTTCACAGGCATTTATCGAGCAAAAAACACGTCATAAATGCTATAGGTTCGTTAATGAGCGTTAATGAACATCACAAACCCAGACTAGCCGGGAAATTTTTGAAATTATGGGAGCTGTGGCTGACAGATGTTTTTCCCACGCGGGAAAGACATGTCAACCACAGCTCCCATATTTTCAGAAATTTCCGTTGGGAGTCATTATAGATACTTGACATCTTTTCATTGAGCATCAGAGTGGTCATACGGTCCCGCACTCCCTGAAGAGGGACAGACGGGCTATTCCAGGCCTGAGCAATTGTTCTAGTCGCCAACAAGAACAAATAGGAAGCCAACTTCTGCTGTTGGGCCAACAGGCCAAGTATGGGACAATGAAGCAAAGCGTACCAAGCATCCCAGCGTATGGAGGGATGGAACAAGGTGAAAAGGAGGCCAAACAGTTTCTGGCATGACCATCATATATGCAACACATCTCCACGATGACCACAACCCCAAAAGCATCGATCACTGCAGGCAGAGTTCGCCTGCACCAAACGAGCCGGGACATCACTTCCCTTTTAAGCACCTTCCACTAGAAAAGCAACACTTCCATGGGCATTTATCGCGCAAAAAACACATCACAAATGTTATAGGTTTGTTAATGAGCATTGCTTCATGCTTCATAATCGACACGCGTGTGAACGAGCCCTAAAACTATATAATATAAGTGACTGATTGGAGAAAAGCAGGAATTGACCTTGCTCTACTGCCTTCTCAAGGATGCTCCTGTTCATATCAATGGCACGTTCATCTGTCACTATGGCAACCTTCTTCCCCAGAGCCTGCAGCATGGCCGCCATGGCGACTGCCCCGGGTGGTCCCGTCCGTTTCCTCTGGAGGTTGGTGCTGGAAGTGGGTGGGGAAGCCGGTGGTTATCAGGATGGATTTGGCATGAGATAGAGATAAACAAGATTTCAGCAGCTCATCTTGGACAAGAAGGTTCTTTATTCCCCGGTTACCTGGAACACATTAAAATATCCAGCAAAGATTAAATTAATAAGGGTAAGGTCAGCCATGGCAATGAAAACTAGTTGTATTTAGGGATTTTATTGCTTCCTTTTTGTTTTTTAAATCAAGATTTATTTTTTGTGTTACAAAAATTCTGTACAATGAACAATACAATTACCCTCCCCAACATATACCCCCAGTGCACGTAAATCATATGTAGCACCCCTCTAGTTAGACAGGGGGCGCTAGCTAGGTTTTTACTTAGAGGCTGGTCCGTAGCCTGGGATGAGTCAGCCAAGTAACTTTAGGTCAGGGCTGAGGCCTCTGCAGATCAGTTCCCTGATACCTCCCCCTACTCTAGAAGCTTGAAAAGTTTCTAGAAGGCAGTGGGTGGGGATGAGGAGGGGCTGATCTGCATAATCCTGCACCCCCTGGGCCTCATAAAGGGAGAAGGCAGTCAAGTGGCAAACCCAACTAGTTCTCGTCTGGGGCTCCTCTACTACAGTGGCATTTTCTGGGTCCCCTTGCTCAGGGATTCACTCAGGCAGCTGGGTGAACAGGAGGATTCATCTGGGGTCTGAGGAGGTACACCAGAAGGGTTGTAGAGCTTTTCAAAGGAGAGACATTCATTCTTTTTTGTCCATATCCGTACATAGTTGCTAAAGAGATTTGTCCTCAAGTTCACAGTTCCTTGGGAGTCCCATACACCCCTCAACCCCACCAATACCCCTTAATAAAACTAAAAAAAAAACAAGATCAAGGGCTGTTTACTGTTTCCAGTGGTGCAAGTGTGGAAGAAAATGCATGCTGCCTGGCTGGGAAGGACTATAGGGGGACCCAAAGCTCAGCAACTCCTTAGGGGGTATTGCTACACATAGAAGAAGAAAAAGAGGACATGTCATGGTTCTACATGTGCATATATTGGCAAGAATAGATCATTTTTTAATTTCCATTTCTGCAGCTCTTTAGGAAAGACAGCCAAAGGTTGTAGAGGTACCAAGCTTCCCATAACAGCATTTGCATTTTTCATATGTAGACTAAGACCCCTAAAGTGCATGCAAACCCAATCACTAAAATCTTATGTGCTTCACCACGTTACAGTTATTTTAGCATTTAGATATTTGTAAATCGTCAGCTTTCCTTAAAATAACTCCTGGTAATTCATCCATGAAGGACCGTGTCCAGGCACTTCCTGCGATAGGATGACAACTCACTGTTCCCATCTCCCAATTCCTCTTCGGTGTTGACCAGTGGTGTATTTAGGATTTGTGCTGCCCTAGGCAACACAATATTCACCCCCCCCGGACAGAGTCTGACATTGACCAACAACACCCCTGAACCCGAAAGAGCCTTCCACTACCATCACCCCCATACACCGACCACTCCCCTTCCAGCGAGAGAGAGAGAAAGACACTCACCTTTACAGCTCTGGACATCCGTGGGAACGAGAGTCAAACAGTCCGCAGCCTCTCTCAGATCCCATCTGGTCCCCTAACCGCATGTGTCCCTTCTTCTGTCTCTTCTTTCAGGAGGGCGGTGCTGCCCCCC